TGGAGCTCCCGCTCCAGGCCCACCCCTGCAAAGAGGCATGGCAGAGCCAAGCCGACAGGAGTCGCGGCTGGGCCAAGCTGACCAGGATTGCGGCCTGGTCGAGCTAACCATGCAGCCATGGCCCTCAATTCAGGCATATCAGAGGGCCCTCTGATGTGCCTGAGCAGAGAGCTGCATCTGCTGTGGCTGCAGTCGCCAGTCTCTCTGACTTACCCCCCCTGGAGCCCGCACTGACCACCTGGAGCCCGCACTGACCACCTGGAGCACGCACTGACCACCTGGAGCCCGCACTAATCCCCTGCAGCCCGCACTGACCCCCTGGAGCCTGTACAGACCGTTTGGAGTCCGCACTGAACGCCTTGAACTCGCACTGTCCGCCTGGAACTCGCACTGACCTACTGGAGCCCCACTGACCTCCTGGAGCCCCCACTGACCACCTGGAGCCTGCACTGACCACCTGCAGGCCCTACTGACCACATGGAGCCCACAATGACCCCCCTGGAGCCTACATTGACAGCCTGGAGCCCACACTGACCACCTGGATCTCCCACTGACCACCTGGAGCCCGAACTGACTACCTGAGAGCCCACACTGATCGCCTAAGAGCCCACATTGACCACCTGGAGCCATCATTGAACGCCTGGAGCCCTCACTGACCACCTAGGTTCCTTGCTGACCACCTGGATCCCTCACTGCCCAACTAAGAGCCCACACTGCCCACCTAAGAGCCCGCACTGCCCACCTTAGAGCCCACACTGCCCACCTGGATCCCTCACTGACCACCTAAGAGCCCTCACTGACTGCCTGAGAGCCCACACTGGCCCTCATAGAGCCGCACTGCCCCCCTAAATGCTGCTCAGCTCTCCTCAGACCCTGGAGACATCACGTCCTGAAACCGGAGCAACATAGAGTATGTAGCTTCATATTATTCTGCATTGCTGTATAAAGTATTGCTGGGATTTGTAGTCTTCTATAGCTGATGGTATTATTCTGCATTGCTGTATAATGTATTGCTGGGATTTTTAGTCTTCTATAGCTGATGGTATTATTCTGCATTGCTGTATAATTTATTGCTGAGATTTGTAGTCCTCTATAGCTGATAATATTTTGAATTTCTGTGTAATGTATTGCTGGGATTTGTAGTCCTCTATATTTGGCAGGTATTCTGCATTGCTGTGTAATGTATTGCTCAGCTTTTTAGCCCCTCTATAGCTTGGAATCAGTGGCAGATCCACCACTGACTCCAAGCTGTAGAGAGACCTCAAATCACAGCCCGGATAGGAGGAAAAGGGCCCCCGGTGACTGTCGCCATGTCCATAAAAAGACCCACCGAAATCCTCAGCACTGGGCCCGTGATGCTCTTCCTCTGGCCCTGGTGACAATGTGGATGGGGCGCAGGCAACCTCCTCAGAATCTTTAGTTTGTTCATATGGGACAAGGACATGCAGGCCTGCAAGGCAACTTCTGAAACGGATGCCAGTGGCTTCCAGGACCCCAATTATTTATTGTACAAATGTGCATTGCCTGGCCTATTCACTAACCCGTTCACCTATTTCACCTCTGGCTCAGACTTCCACACTACCAGCAAATCTGTTTAAACCAACAATATACAACGAATACATACAATACATAAAATAAAGGTAACACAATAACAAACATTGCACCGTAGTGCAACACAGAGAAGAAAAGAGAAACAGAACATATGAAATGCGACCTCAACATCATTTTACTGAATGCCTTTCCCTTTTGGATTGTTTAGGAGCAATGAATCGGTTTATGATTGGGGCGCAGAAAGGAAAAAACACAAGTGTGTACGACTTCCATCAAACAAATATGACCCTAAGGTATACTCAGGGCCGGATTTGCTTTCCCTGCCGACCCAAGGCCAGGTTTTTATTTAATTTTTATTTCTTTTTTTTATTATTTTTTTTCACTTAACTTTATTGCTACCACACAGGAGAAAACAATCCCCTGTGTGATAGCAATTGGACAGGTTCTCTTTATTGAACCTGTCACCTCCAATACAGGAGCTCCAGCACAGTACTGTGCTGGAACTCCTGTGACAGGTGAGAGGGGATGAGCGCAGCTCACTGCATTGGTGGCAGGGACAGGAGAGAGATTCGGCGGCCCGGGGGAGGACGGAGTCCCGAAGACCAGCGGAGAGAGGTAGGTGCGGGGGGGAGGGGACTGCACACACATTACAAGTGATCGCGGCGACATCGCCGCAATCACTTGTAAACGAACGGCCGGATTCCCCACTTACCGCCCGGAGCTACATGTTCTGGGCGTCGGGGGACTCCACGGCGCTGCCGCCCCTCTGTTACGTGCCGCCCCGAGGCCGGGCCTCTGTGGCCTTGTGGGGAATCCGGGCCTGGGTATACTAGTGATTTGGTGGGTGTATCCGAGACAATACATACTCTGGATTCCTCCCCCCCTGTAACGAGTCCCGTCGTGGGGTCACACCACAGCAGTCTCTCCACCTGCAGGGACGGCTGCTCTACGTTCCACGGTGGAACGCGGAAGCCGCACGACTTCCTGAGTACGAGACGGGGGGCGGGCTGCATTCTGCGGTGGAACGCGGAAGTCGTTCGTTCGGGCCCGGCGGCTTTTAAATTCACAGCTGAGGCAGCATGGCGTTCCGCATTCGGAGTCAGAACGCCTGCTGCCCCCCGAACCAAGCATCCAGCTACCCCCAGGACTGCCTGAGACGGATCTCCTCTCCCTCATCCGGAGGACCTGCACTTTGAACCCACTAACCGGACTCAAAGCGCAAGTGCAGCTCCTGTTGGAGCCTTAAACAGACGCTCTGCTCCGCAAACCTCGTGCATTATAGACTGCCTTAACATTACCTATCAGCTGTGCACTCGGGGAAAGCCTGCTTCCATGCCTGCATATACGTGGCACACCGCTCCCTAAAAACCTTAACGATGATCATGTTCTTCAGTTGTTACCGCGAGACGTCAGGCTATGAAGTAATAGCTCGGCCCCAATACTTTTGTTATTTTTACGGCTGTGATGCTAGAATCTTGAGGCATCATTTTGGGTCACCCCTCCAATGGTGTCACCCGGGTGCGAGCCGCACCCCCCCTTGTGACGCCACTGGGCCAGAGCCACACCCGGCGGAATGAGGGAAGGATGAGGGCAGAGGCCCTGGATCAAAAGCACCCGACTATCTGAAGATCAACATGATCAAAAAATAATTTGGAAAAAACG